TCTATTTTTTTTTGTGTAGATTCGACCCATATTTTGATCTCAAAAACCAAAAACGGTAAGAAATATATAAGGCAAAGACACCTACGAGTGGCTTGCAAGGTCACACTTTTTTTTAAATAATTTAAAATCTCAAAAACCATTATTTTTCAATACTTCAAAATTTCACAATCATTAGCCATTGATGAAGTGTATATTTTGGAAAAAGGATTTATTTTGGGTTAATCGTATTCATAAAGGTGTCACAAGTCTTACTATTTTAGGAATTGAAAACCGTAAAATTCTTAGCTTATATGCAGCACGTGTTCACTAGCACCATAGCGCAGCAATCGCAAGTCTGACTATTTGCAACAAGTTAACCACGTTTTCTTTAATAGTTCCTACAACTTCCGCTAGGTTTCTGCCATTGGAGTTACAAAAAATATTGTTACAAAAAAAAAAGTCAACTCTGGCAAAGTCACCTTGGATGGCAAAGTATACTGACACTACGGTATTCCATTGCATTTTAAAAGCCAAATGATGTGAGTTTATCATTGACCTACCAGAAATTAATTTTTTCTTTTCAGATTCAGAAAAATCAACCGAAACCGTAAAATTTGTCACAAAGTAACCTCGTTTTACGGTATTTAGTTTTCAACTAAATTTTTAAACTCCAAAAACTTGTCAAACACTCCATCCTTGGATCGAAGAAAGTAAACAAATGTCATTCTTGTGGCATCATCTTTGAATAAAGCAAAATAATTTGAACCTCCTGTGGATCGATCCACACAAACTCAGCATGTATGACTTCTAGTACTTCCTTGGTTCTGGTGCCTACTACTGCCTTCTTTGGGAAATTGCAGCCTATGTTGCTTCCCTTCACAGCAGCTTTCTTCATTTTATTGAGATCTGCAGAGTTAATGTAGCCAGGCCAAACCTTCTATGCCAAGTTTCTCCAGAATTTAGCAGACAACAAGCACTCTTATCAACCCCGTAAACATTTTGCACCAAACCAGCTGTTGCCACCAGCTTTCCTTGACTGTTGTAAATTTGGCAACCCTGTGTGTCAAATTTTACTCTATTGCCATTTTTGATTGAGCCGCTGATAGCAAATAGGGAATTTTCATATTTCTCAAATTATTATTTTTTAGAAACTTCTAGTGATCAGTTATTACATAGTTTTCTTTTTTTCCATTTTAATTTAAACGTTGTACGAAAAAAAATTATTGAAATTCAAATCGAATACTTTGGCGCGAAAACACGAAATCCCAATTTGACAGCGCTTGTGACGTTGAGATTTTGTAAACATCACAGATTAACGCAGAGCTATTTTTATGTTATTCAAGTGTGTTAAAGTTTGCTTTTCATGAAAATTGTCGCAATGGATGAAGAATATTGTGAAGGACTGCTTTTGTATTTTTTTAACGTGCAAGTTCCCTATCAAAGATTTTCCTATTGACGGGTTTGTTTACAGAATCGTGACGTCAAAACAGGTATCCATCATAGAAGCATTGTTTTGGCGGGAAATTTTTTATTTCAAATCTATATCTATATACAATATAAAAATGAATGCCACTTTTCGTTGTAATTTTATAACTCAAGAACGGGCTCACCTAGCCAAACCAAATGTTTAGGCTCTGAGGTTCGGACTATTTATTAGATGGTTTATGCGAAGTTTGCACAAAATCGGTCCAGCGGTTCTTCATTTATCAAATTTTTTGTAATAAATGAATTATTCAATAAATGGAGGATCATTTTGTTAATGGGGATTTTGCTGTCAAATTGAAACTTTTTTCAGCGTTGATAATGTGGTCATTTCATTACTTATTTTATTTATTTATGAAAAAAAATTACTAAGCCCGCATACGGCGCCATCTCTTATAACCGATATCAAGTTTATTTTGTATTTTGTATACCGCGCCATCTCTGATACCTGGAACGAAGCTCGGCATTGCAGATACAGTAGAACAATGCTGCTCAGGAACTGGAGCTATTTCGAACAGAACTATTCCACTATTCCGATCAGATAGAGTGGTGCAGAAAGAGTAGATCAGATAGAGTAGTGCAGATAGAGTGAAACAGGGCTGCGCTGGAGATTTTTTTTGTTTTCTTTACATTCTTTGAACATTCCTGTGCCTGAGTTTATTTATTTGGTGGCAGAGCTGGGAGTAACGACAAAAAAAAAGTTACTTTACTTTAACGAATTACTGAAAGTAACGCGTTACTTGGTAACTTCGTTACTTTTCAGATTGATTGATAAGTAACTGTAACGACGTTACTTTTCTGAAGTAACGCTGGAAGTAACGCGTTACTAGTTACTATGAAAGTAACACGTTCTCTCAATTTGTTCACAAATAATTAACGAGTGAAGAAAAGGAAAATAAGTAATTTTTGTATGTCAAATAAAAGTTGGTAGTACAGAAAATTTGTTTTGAAAGCTCAAAATAATCGTTTTTGGGCGTGCCACGTGGCGCCTCTGCTCTAAAGACATTATATGCGACACTGGGACGCTTCAAAGAGCAGGTTTGTCCAAAACCAAGTGCTCTATTCAGTCGCTTAATCCTTAATCCGTTTGAATTTTGCAAAAATACTCTTCCACGTAGTCGGACTCACAAACTAAAAACATATTGGCATTTCGTATAGGTCTTATTTGATTGTTTGGACTGCTGTGTAGGTGAGTCAAATTAAGGAATAACGCAATTTTCGACGTAATTAGTTATTTTTGAAGTAACGCGTTACTTTAAAAGTAACGAACTACTTTTAAAGTAAAGAAGTTACTTTCAAAGTAAAGAAGTTACAGTAACGCGTTACTTTCCAATAAGTAACGAAAATAAAGTTATCATTATTCGAAAGTAACTTTAAATTTTAAGTAACGAGTTATTTTTAAGCAAAAGTAACTGTAAAGTAACGCGTTACTTTTTTCAAGTAACGATCCCAGCTCTGTTTGGTGGTACACTTTACAAGAATAATGCCCACAAGCTGCCTAAAAAAGGATGATGTAAAATTTTAATTTTAGGTATGTGACTTCTGATCCAGAGAGTAAACATTAATTTTCTTCAACCAAAGCCAAATTCACCATCGAAATAAACTGAATTCAATTTAGCTAATAGATACGTTAACACAACATTCAATAGGTATATTTAATAATTCAGAGGCGGTACGAAGTTCGCCGGGTCAGCTAGTTTAATATAATTTTTTTGTGTAACAATGGCGGTATCAGTTAAATAAAAACTGGTCATATGAATATTGTGCAGCATAAACTAACGATTTAAAACAAATTTGGAAAATTTTAGTTCACTTGCAAGTTCCCTATTCCGTTGCACACAAACCACATTTTTGACAGAAATCTCAAAGATGCTATTTACACACCTCGTTGTCAGACTACATTACCCATGCACTTGCCTGGTACTTTCGTATTATTAGCCACTACTATTTCCTTCAACTCACAATTTTTAAGGCCGTTTTACAGCTTGCAATTCTATCTGCAATATGCAAGAAACTTGAATGAGGGCATGCGCAGAAGTGAGTCAGCTGATTGGTTTCAGCAAGATTCTTGAAACTTGAATGGCATTGCATGCAATCGGTTTGGTGCCATTTTTCTTGAAAGTTTTCGTGCAAGCTAAGAAATTTTTAGCAATTATGATGCTTAAAGTTGCTGATATTGCTTTCTTCTTTTTATATCGACTTATAATCACTTTCTTTATTTTTGGAAAATGCAAACATCAACAACAGAACATTGAAAACAAAAAAGTATGGTCAAGGTTAAGAGAAAGAAACAAGTCAAATTGCAAGGTGTAAAACGACGTGCAAGAAATCTTGAATGCAATTTGTTTGCATGCAAAAAATTGCATTCAAGTTTGTTTGCATGCAAAAAATTGCATTCAAGTTTTCTTGCAAGCTGTAAAACGGCCTTTAGAAATATTTTCCATCCATCCATTATTTACACAAAGATGTAAGCTTGCCTCCGAGCTCACACACCAGTCTGTCTTCAGAAACTGCGTACTCAAAAAGACTGCACTAAAAGTATGAGACTTTTTTTTATTCTGTTCACCTTTTAGCCTCCACACTTGATACGTCCAAACTCTTTGCAAGCATAATATTTCACACCTTTATTTTTCTTTTTCTCAGAATATTTTCCTTTGCCCCCTCCACCGGCAAAAGCTACACCATGCCTCTGAGGTTCCACCTCTGTATCCAGCAAATTCGTCTTGATGGCATCTGTAGTAGTTATGGCTATACCACTATGATGCTCGATTGCCATATAGAAGAATACTTTTCAGGCAAACCAGCTAGCAATAAGGAGCCTATCCACATGTCATAGATTTCGATCTCTGTGACGTTTCAACAACCTTATTCACATAATCACCCATAGATTCAGAGTTTTCCATGTTGGTAGATAGGTATTATACATCTCAACAAATTAATTTTTCTTGTTTGACCTGAGTCAGAAAACATGTACTTTTCAATTTATACCATATATACCTTCTTGGGTGTTGACTGAACTTTTATTATGTGAAAATAGTGCTGAATCCTATCGTGAGGACTATTCTGGCCTTCGCTTTTGCACACTTGTCTGCATCAGGTTCTGTGCTTTCAGCAGCCCAAAAGGCCATCCAAAATGAGAACATTCTGTACACCGAATCCACATTCTTCATAATTTTTCTGGCCTTTTAACTTGGGTTCACTGGCTCCAAAGTTGTCTGCCATGTCTCTAAACCTTCACTTTTCGTTTCCACACAGACTAGAATGAAAAGCTACGCAAAAAACTATGAAAGCCCAGCAGAAAGAAAAACTTGGCCTATAACCTAATAAAATACGACAATTTTAGGAGCAACAGTTTCTCCATTCTAGCAGGGTTCGTTCAATATTAATTTGTGACTTATTCAACCTTTTTTTCATTATTGTCGTTTATACCTTATGCATTTTTATTTTTTTAATTTTTATTTTGTAGTATAATGTTAGCAACACATGAACACATGTACAAATTCTTAGATCAAAAAGATCAACAAATTTACTTATTGCAGGAAATGCAGGATTACAATGGTATTTCATCAATCTTTTTTGCCATCAAAACATGCCAAAAATTCCACGACGAGAGACTGCGAGTTGTCCAAAAAACCTGGTTAGAATACACCGTAAATACTGCTATTTTTAGCGATGTTACTGGTAATAAGTAATTAATTACCTAATTTACAAAGAAGCATTAAAAAAATTACGCATTTATAAAAATTTCAGATTCAGGAATTCCAACATTATCATTGGACGTGCCAAACACAGAACAAGGCCATTGCCAAAAGACAATGGCAATTCTTCAATATGCATTAAAAATATTTGATAACAACAGAAAGTTACGGTGGCTTGTTTTGGTTGATGATGACACTATTTTAAGGTACTTTTTTTCTTCTGGGTGCCTATTCTCGTAACCGGGAAACAGCGTTTTCACGAGAACGATTGCTCTGTCTTTGTCAGTATTATGGAAATATAAGTATGAGCGACTAATACAGAACCTTCGTTCTCATGAGAAAGCTGCTCCTCTGTTACAAGAATAAGGGCCTTGGTCTGGTAAAATTTGCTCTCTGATGGCAAATCGGTGATGTAAAATGTTGTATAAATACATTATGGATATTGTTTATTATTTCAGTGTATCAGGAATACTCAATTTAACTAATTGCTACCAGAACGCAACTCGATCCCTAATTTTAGGAGAAAGATATCGGTTTGGAGTTCATGGCTTTAACTACCCCACTGGTGGAGCAGGGATTGTGATCAACAGGCAGGCACTGGAAATACTAGCGAAAGCATGCCAATGCATGCGTCCTGATTCCCCAGACGATATGGTGATAGGAGCTTGTGCCCTGGAACATGGGCTAACGTTGGTTCATATACCTCAGTTGCATCAGGTAGGGTGATTTTTGTTTAATATATCTTATACCTAGGTACAGGGTGTTTTTTATGTATTGACACCCCACCTACAGCCTTTACCTTTACAGGGAGATGAAAGGTGTAAAGACATAAGTTGTACAGTTTTGGCTAAATTTTTAGAATCCATGGTTAGAAACAAAAATTGAATGTCAGAAATGTGAATTGTTGCATGCTTTCAGTTTTTTTCAAATGGGATGCCCTATATTTGTTTCTATATTCTTGAAGAGCACAATTCCCCAAATCTGGTGGATCTACGACTAGTCCAGCACTTGAACTGGCATTAAGATTCTTTATTTATTAGCTTCTTTCTAATTCTTCTCTGAAGAAACAATGATAATGATATGCAAAGACATCTTCAATACATGAATAAATCGTGTGTACATCACTGACATTAGAGTGATCAGATTAGTTGAGTTTTCGCATTATTGGATTCTTGAATTCAGGTAGGTATTTCAATTTCCTTTAAAAAGGCACAGATTTAAAAATTAAGGCAATGGCGGGTGGTACCTATAATTTCGAAAATATTTTCATTACCTTTTCACACAAACTTACTCATATTGTTGGCCACTTTAGTTGTCACTTGCTTATGCTTCCGACCATTTACTTGTAGTTTGTTATCCTCATTGCGAATTGGTAAACTAACGCGTGAGCCCACCGTAATATAGATAACAGAACTCCTTATCTCTGCCCTTGGGCACAAAGCCGAATTCAATCTCCTTATTTTTCCAGGGCCGGATTTAGGCACAGGCAACTGAGGCAACCGCCTAGGGCGCCACGATTAGGGGCGCCAAATTGCAAACAAATTTATTTAAAGTGGATTAAAAAAATGTTTCATACAACAAGGATAATAGGGGGAAAATAAAAGATCCGACAACATTGTCCGGTGATAGTTAATTTATGTGTCACCACTGTCGCCTCACGCCTGTCACCGCTCATCACGGCACCTTCGATCATCTATAGTCTCGTCTTTGTCTCAAAAAATAGATTGAATGGACTTTTGCTGCAGGAATTGAAAATGTTATAACCTTCGACCATTGAACACACTCGATGGTTATGTAAGATTCGATGAAGTAGATTATAGGTATGTTCTCACAGATACACAAACCAGTCAGAGCGTTTTCGATTGGTGCAAATCGCCAGTTTTATGACTATTTTCAACCAATGAAATTTCCTCTGATTGGTTTATGAATTATGTGACTTTGCAAGACGTAAAGCCAGACGGGTCCTGGTCTATCGGACCGACTTTTATTGGTTGTGATTGTAAACTATCAGAAAACTGGTTGCTGGCGATTTGCACCAATCAAAAACACTTCGACTGGTTTGTGATTTCTGTGATTCTGTGAGAACAGACCTTATAATGTAATAAGTGGATATGCTATATGTACTTTTAAAAAAAAATTAAGTTACTTTTTTGTCTTAACTCCTCTCTAAACGATAGCTTGAAATTCATCGTTTTTCAATACAATTTGTGAAGGGGGCGCCAGAATTGAACTTTGCCTCGGTATATAATAGCTGTTGGACCGGCCCTGGATTTTTCTTAGTGGAAACTTAGTTTCTGTGGGCCTCACTACACGTTATAATTCATCCAATTTTTTTTTTCTTTCAGGCTCGTCCGGATGACTATGCTCCAGGACGTTTAGCAGTCAAAGATGCCATTAGTTTTCATAAACATTGGATGATCGATCCGATAAAAACATACAAGCAGTGGTTTTTAGCAAATGACGAAAGAATGTTCAAACCATCCCTTAAGACAGAATTGTAAAAACAGTGATATTTTTTTTTGTCTAGTCTCTAGTTTCTAGTTGTGATCATAGATATTTTTAAAAATAGAAATATGTATCTCCGGCTATATTCCATTTTGCAAATGGAATAGATACCAGGTACCTACCTCTTTTCTATAAGGAAAAAAAAATACTAATCTTTGCCTATTAAACAATTTATTATTGAAACCATATCATGCATTTTTAATCATCTACAAATCTACTCCTTAACTTGTAATACATAGGTAAAGATATTAGAAACACTTTATCTTTATCTAGAAAGTTCCTCACAATAATTACCAAGTTAACGAACGGTTTGTAGTTAGCATATTCCATAAACGAACATACCTACTATTGTTTATAATCCAGTGAAACAAAATAAAGCTGAAGAAAAACACAATGAAATTCTCTTTTCAACCTATTACATATTTAGTTTAGTTACTATAACTACAATATTAATTATTCAGTAGTCATTTTCTATCCCCACAAATCTCACATCCTTTATAATTATATTATAATATAAAAATAGGTTAATAGAGATTTGGAACAAAAATAAAATTATTTCTAAAAAATTAGAAGAAAAAAAATATTCTAAAAATATGACTATTGATGAACAAAATTAAACTTAAAGTTAAATTGAAGACATTTTTTCACTAATTTCCAACAGTTTGACCTGAAACAAAAAATAATTTAAATCAAAATTCATAATAGATATTCCTGGTATTCTTTCGATCTGAACAAACGGATTGTGATCACATGAGGTTTGTTCATGACTCAGAAGGCGTCAAAAAACCAGCTAGGGCCAATGAAATCGTTTTAAAACCGGATGAAAATGAAAATTGTTCGAAACAAACTTCAAGTAACTTCGATCAGTTTGTTTAGATTGAAAGAATACACCTACTTTTACTTCCAGCGAGAATTGAAACATATACTACAAAAAAAATAGAACAATATTGTTAAGTGTCCCACCCTTGTCACGTAGGTACACTAGTCCTAGTTCTTTCAAGAAAATCACACGAAAACTCCTGGTTCGTGATTAATGAGTGAAGTTCAATTCTCCCAAGACAAAAGTTTAATTATCCCAAAGAAATAGATTTGTTTACAGGGGTAAGTATTTTTTATGAAATTTTGAAAACAGAAAATATATTTGGGAAGGGATTTTGCAGTAATGCAAAACACAGTACACAGTTTTTGGATAAGTACATTTTAACAGGAAGCATGCCTTTGGGCAGGATAACTCAAAAAGGTCAGAAAATAATAATTTGTAATTTGGTTCCAAGCAAGGAGTGTAGGAGTTAGACAAGTACCTACTTTAAATGACACATTCACTACCCATTTTGTTTGATAGAAGACTACCTCAAAAACGTATTTTGTCAAAGAAAGAGGAATATTGCTAAGAGTTTTTTTAAGAAAACTACCTCTGGAAATAGCGAAGGGTTTGTCGGAAAACTGCCATTTTTTCAAGACTATGAAAAGGAATTAGGACAAAACTTTTGTTCAAAACTGACAGCCGAGTTTACAAGAAGAAGACGACAACTGTTAAAATCCAACTCAACAGCAAAAATTTGTTTAGGGTATTGACACCTACGCTTGTTCCACGCTCAGCTATTCCTTCGGGATAGTTAGGTGGTCCGGCATTGATATCAGCAACCTTCAGTGCAAAATCAGAACTCACAAAAGCATAAAAACATCATCCAAGAAGTGCCACAGAAAGTACAACAATCCCACGGCATTGGGGCGGAAGAGGACTGGCAGATATTTCAAAGCAGCTAGACCAACAGATCGCCAACATGCGCAGCTATTTTCAACAAAAAGCAGGCACGTCTGATTTACATCGGTTTATATGTGATACAGATAACTTCACTCCTCTACAGCTAAAAGAGTAGCAAGTCTCAATACATCACGAATCAGTGGATGAGAAACTGCAGAGTTGGAGAAAAAAGCCTTTGCATGGAAGATATTTGAATGAGGTAAGTCAGGATTACGTCGACAACCTAGCGTCAAACTACTGGCTGGCCTCGGGACAGATGTTTCCTGAGACGGAGGACTTTCTAGTAGCCATACAAGATCAGGTGATCCCAACCAGAAACTATTTTAAATATATAATGAGAGATGCTGCAGTATCGGATGATAGTTGTAGGTATGGTTATCGGCTGTCGGAAACCATACAGCATTTCACAGAAGAATGTCAAATGTTCGCTGCGAGTGAATACAAACTGACACACGACGCATCAGCTAAAATTCTGCATCAAGAACTAGCAGAGAAATTACAGCTCTCGCAGGAGCAAAGAGTTCCATATTATATGTACAATCCTGAGCCAATCTTGGAAAATAATTTATACAAGCTCTATTGGGATCGCACTCTTTTGACAGACTCTCATAATAGGCCAGATCTTATTCTTGTCGATAAAAGGTCAAGAAATACAACTCTGATA